AAAGTTTGCTTTGGAAAAGAATGGTTATCATCATAAAAAAAAAAAAAAAAAGGCGGCGGGAGGGGGGTAGAAAGTATGTAAAAAGGAATGTTATATGGTAAATTCTTGTCCTAAAAATAAATTAACTGGTTGTTTAAAAAAAGGAATGTTTGCAACAAGTCAGAAAGTTGAGGCATGTCGAAGAATTGTCTGTAAAAGTCGTGAAAAAAATATTGTAAAGGGGAATTTATGCAAGAAATATTGTATAACTTAAAAGTAATTCAGTCTCCTGAACGTAAAACTATTGAAAAAAGTTTATGTGCAAAGTGTATAAGGAAAGTAAAATATACCTTTGGTAAGAGGATTATAAGGAGGCATGAGAATGTGGATTTTTACCTACGTTAAAAGGTTAGAAAAAAATTTGTTTTAACAGTTTAAGCTAGTTTTGAAATGTTAATTGTAAAGGAAGTTCTGTGTGTAAACATATTGGCTAAAGTTTAAGAGGTATCATCCAATTTTTCTGTGAACTGGACAGTAAAATAAAAGCACAACAGGTTTTTCTTAAAGCGCTAACCTGCTCTTTAACACAAATATAAAAGGTTGAAAAGAGTCTATAAAAGTCTTACCTTATGGCCAGACATTAAAATCAGATAAATATGTCTATAAGGTTTTATTACAATTGACTTTAACATTAATAACACACTAATATACAGGTCAAATTTAGCTTATCTGGTATAAAAATCATACAGGAATCATTGTCAAATACAAAATGGTGTTTGGCTTTTTTTAGTCTAAAAACTGATAAAAATAAGTGCTAAAGGAAATTTCTCAGTAAGAAGGCACCAAGGACTAGAAAGTCCACTGCTCATGTCCCCCCATTTAAAACAAAAGGTCAATTTCTTAGAAATTATGTACTTGGTTTATCTTCCACTTTCCTTTCCCTCAAAACTGAAAGTCTTTTAGCGCAGGTACCACCCCTGGAATTTCCAGTAAACCAGCACCAGCCTGAAGATCACGTTCTCATCAAAGGGTGGAAAGAAGGAAAACTTGAGCTAGCCTGGGAAGGACCCTACCTTGTGCTGCTAATCACTGAGACTGCTGTTCATACAGTGAAAAGGCGATAGATTCATCACACCTGAGTCAAGAAAGCGCTGCCCCCTCCAGAGTCGTGGGCCATAGTCCCAGGGGAAAACCCTACCAAACTAAAGCTAAGAAAAATTTAACTCTCTTCCATCTATTCTATTACTCTTTCTTCTTTCCTCACTCTATTGCTGACCATCTAGTTATTAACATAACAAAGTCAATTTCGCCTTAAACTATTGCATTCAATGCTTGCCTTGCTATACCCTGTGGGGACTTACCAAGTCAAAGACAGCTCTCTACTTCAGAAAAGTACTTCTGTCCCTCCTGACTTTCCTCAAACTGGGCATTAGTAAACTAGGACCATTTAATCTGGGGAGATTTCGATGAAGACCCCAGTGCCAACCAGAAGTCTTGCCCCCCCGATGTAGAACTTTCATGCCATAGTTGGTCCAACATTCTGTGGACCACTAAAGAACAAGAATGGACTGTCCCAACCGGCTTTTGTAATTTCCTAAAAGCATACATTCATTTTACTAGAGGGACAGCCCTTCCCCCTAACTGTCAGCTAAACCAGCACAATTCTATACAGGTTATTATCTCAAACCCTCAAAGTTCTTCCCCTTTTCTAAGCCGGTTCCCTTCTTTAAGCCAGTTTTATGGTATAGGGGCTGAGGTTTCAGGGACAAACCCTATTAGATTCATTTCCTTGATCTCCCACCACCTGCACCTTCCTCTAAGCCTTCTTCCAAAACCTCTCACAACGGAACAATTGCTCCTTATCCATGTAACAACAAGACCAAGATAGCTGTCATAAAAGTTAAAGACTTAAAACAAACTTTGGCAGTTAAGACAGGATACCAAGATGGAAATGCCTCGTTGGAATGGGTAAAATATTCCATCCGCACGTTAAACAAAAGCAATTGTTATGCTTGTGTGCATGGCAGGCCAGAGGCCCAGATTGTCCCCTTTCCACTAGGGTGGTCCTCCAGTTGACCAGGTGTGGGCTGCATGGTAGCTCTTTTCCAGGATCCTACAGCCTGGAGTAATAAGTCGTGCCAAGCTCTCTCTCTCTCTGCTATATCCTGAAGTCCAGCACCCTGCAGGTCAGCCCCTGAGGGCCATCCAGTTTCTGTCTCCCAACACTAAGTTCACTTCATGTCTCTCATGACAAGGAGGAAACTTTGCATTTTTTGGAGACCTGAAGGGATGCAGTGAGCTTAAGAATTTTCAAGAGCTTATCAATCAGTCAGCCCTTGCTCATCCCTGAGTGGATATGTGGTGGTATTGTGGTGGACCTTTACTGGACACTCTGCCAAATAACTGGAGTGGCACTTGTGCTTTAGTCCAATTGGCTATCGCTTTTACCCTGGCATTTCATCAACCAGAGGAAGGAAAAATAAGACAGCATAAAGCTAGAGAAGCCCCTTATGGGTCTGCCAACTCTCTTGTCTATTTAGACACAATTAGAATCCCAAGGAGAATACCAGATCAATTTAAAACCCTAAATCAAATAGCTGTAGGATTTGAGTCAATATTTTGGTAGGTGACAATTAATAAAAATGTAGATTGGATAAACTACATCTACTACAACCAACAGTGATTTATTAACTACACTAGAGTTGCTGTTAAAGGAATAGCTGAACAATTAAGGGCTACTAGCCAGATGGCTTGGGAAAATAGGATCGCTTTAGACATGCTATTAGCAGAAAGAGGAGGAGTTAGCGTCATGATTAAAACTCAATGTTGCACCTTCTTCCCAAACAACATCACCCCTAATGGAAGTATAACAAAGGCATTGCAAGGTCTGACTGCCCTCTCCAATGAGTTAGCCAGCAACTCAGAGGTAAATGACCCCTTTACAGGATGGCTGAAAAAGTGGTTCAGTAAATGGAAAGGAGTAATAGCCTCAATTCTTACTTCCCTCACAGCCTTAATGGGTGTACTTACCTTGTCAGGTGCTATGTCATACCATGCATCCATGGGTCAATGCAGAGGGTCATAAAAATGGCACTTACTAAAACTTGCCTTAACTATCCATCACCTGATCCAGAGAAGCTTCTTCTTTTGAAAAATCAAGCAAAACAACTAAACCAAGATATGTTTAAAAAGTTTGAAAAGAAAGCTGTAAGGAAATACAAGGGGAGGGATTGTTAGATATGAGTTCCAAATTTATTTTCAAAGAATCAATATGTCAGTATTTTCAATTCTTTATCTTCTACTTTTAAACTTAACTTCCTTATAAAGCAACCTTTTTCGATTACCTGCTCCACCCTGATTCATTCCGATTACCTGCTCCACCCTGACTCATTCCGATTGCCTGTTCCACCCTGACTCATTCTGATTACTTGCTCTGTCATAACCATTTTTGCCGCCTAACTACTCTTCCCCGTCACTCTCTTTAAGTTAGCCAATTGGAATTAGCTTAGCCTGTGCGGCCTAACCCTAGCCAATAGGGGAACGACACAGCAGCGGGGCCCACATGTGTCAGGGATAAGAACCCCTTCTCCTCCCTTGTCCAAGTGTGTGTTCACCATTGCTCCATCTGTAAGGATGCACCCTTCTATAGAAGTACCTTGTCTTTCTGAGAATTAAAATAAAATTTTATATTTGAGTGCTATTTCTTTTGCAGCACCAAAACTTTGTATATAACAGTTAAGTGTTTCCCTGAGTTCTGTGAGTCACCTATTAAGTTATCAAACCCACAGAGAGAGGGTTGTGGGAAGCCCAATTTATAGCTTGTCAGTCAGAAGTATCTGTCTCCAGGGAGATAGTATCATAATTGAATTGAATTATAGGACACTCAGTTGGTATTGAAAGAAAGCAAAATATTTCCTCCCCAAATATTGAGAATTGTTAAGTTAAAGGAAAACACTGCATCAGCATCTATCTGCCTGATGGCAGGACATAGATCTTTCCTTACTAGGGACAACACTTGCTTGTCAGCCCAGAGAAGGCACCAGCAGGTACTAGAGGAATCGGAAACACATTTTACTATCTTCCCACATTTTCTTTTCTTTTAAAAGACTGGAACTGCTCTCTTTTTTGTCTTGTCACCATGCAGGATTTATGGTTCTTTAACAGCTGAGGTTAATAAACCTCTGCTTGTTTTTCTTTTGTTAATCTGACTTTTGTTTTCAGGAGAGTGTCTCAACTAAGAACCTAAAAAGGGAAAGAAAAAAAAAATATGTTTTCTCCCCTACAATTTGGCAATCCAACCAGGAGAAACAGAGACACTCTGTGGCAGGCCAGGTTTCTGTTAGCAACCAGAGTGGCCAGTTACCGCTAACCCTTTACTATAATTCTGATGACTGCATAAGTTAAACATTAAAGAACTGGAGAAACTGGTGTCTGAGTATGAGGACTGGAATGAAAAAACAAACACATTAAGACCCCATCTGGGTTTTCTCAGACCCTAAAGTCTGATTGAATGGTAAAAGCATTCTTACACATACACCTTGTACCATAGCCCACTTAAGACTAAGACACTTTCCAAAGCTCTAGAATGTTATATATAAAGTTTCAGTGCTGCAAAAGAAATAGCACTTGAATGTAAAATTTTCTTTTTAATTCTCAGCGAGGCAAGATACTTCTATAGAAGGGTGCGCCCTTACAGATGGAACAATGGTGAACGCACACTTGGACAAGGGAGGGGAAGGGGTTCTTATCCTTGATGCATGTGGCCCCTGCTGCTGTGTTGTTCCCCTGTTGGCTAGGGTTAGGCCACACAGGCTAAACTAATTCCGATTGGCTAATTTAAAGAGAGCGATGGGGTGAGTGGTTTGGCGGGAAAAGTGGTTATGACAGAGCAGGTAATCGGAATGAGTCAGGATGGAGCAGGTAATTGGAATGAGTCAGGATGGAGCAGGTAATTGGAATGAGTCAGGGTGGAGCAGGTAATTGAAAAAGTTTGCTTTATGAGGAAGTTAAGTTTAAAAGTAGAAGGTAAAGAATTGAACATACTAACATAGTGATTCTTTGAAAATAAATTTAGAACTCATGTCTAACAGCAAAAAATTTTCCAGACCACAGACCCTAGTTAAAGATTAGATGCAGATTGAATGAAACACTCCTGCTTGTAGTGCACTCCCACACGTTGGCATAGAACTTAAAATGTACGTAAGTATTGGAGCAAAACTTGTAACTTTGAGTTGGCCTGGTGAGTTTCCCTGATCTTCTCCCTGTAACCAGTTGCAGAAATAAACTCCCTTCTTACCCAGTCTGTTCACTTCTTGTTACTAGACCAGGAGAACAAGTAGCCAAACCTTGTTTGTCCAGGAACAACTCCACTCACTCCATGATAGAATCCTGGGAGAACTGGCAAATACCAGCAGAAAATGGTAAGGTTTCTTTCTCATCCTTTCCTTTCCAGGTCGAGATTGACCAAAAAAATATATATATATATACACACACACACACACACACATATATATATATATGTGTATACACACACAGGTGTATATATATAATTAGTTCTTCAAATTTGTGACTCTTGTGGATTTGCCCACTTGGTTATCGGGATTTTTAGTTTTCTAACTATGGTCTTTGTTTTCCTTGTCTCTGTCTCTTTGTGTGGTTTATCATAAGGAGGAAAATCATAATAAAATTTTTCTTTTGTCTTATTTTATTTCTTGAGAAGTGTGGCTTTACAACCAACAAATTTATTCTCTAGTCTCTGACAGTCTACCAGCATAAGTTCCTGGGCTTCTGTCAGGCAGCCAACTGAGAGTCCAGCTGGGGGACCGAAATGTCTGTCTAAATGTGCTGGCTCTTGGGAATTTGTCTTAATTGTCTCAACCTTCATTGTCTTGCTAATAATGAGGGTCTTTACTTTCTTAGGCCATCTTTGGAAAAACTTCAGATCCTGAAAGAGATTGCATTTTTCCACCCTCTTTGGGGACGTAATTGTTGTGTCTGGTTGTCAGTCATAAAAAGCTTACTGGTTTTAAGTCACAATTAAATTAGGTATACCTTTGGGAATTTAGGCTTTTGTATCTAAAAGTATTTTTTTTTTTTTTTTCTTTTTTAAAGAAAGCCCCCTCAGCTCCTTGGAGTTGTGAATCTTACCATGTCTTTGAAATGTTAACATCCGGGGCATTAGCTAAGCAGCATTCCTTCTGAGATCTGATTTAAAACAAGAGTTAATTTAAGAAAGGAAAAGCCAAGAAACAGGAATGTTTGCTCTTTGCCCAGTTAAAATCTGATAAAAAGACTTTTTAAGGAACTCTATAGTTAAAAGTTTACTTTATTAAAAGCTGATACTTAGACTATATGCGCATACATATATATTCTTAAGGTCTCTGTTCTCTCTCTAGAAAAGCTTCTCTGTAGACTAACTTCCTTTCTTCTTAAACCTTTGCCAATCATATGTGCTTCCTCTGTCTGTTTCTCCTCTTAACATAATTTTTGCCTCAAAGACTTGTTCTTCCATTTACTTCTGTCTGTCCCTCTTTCCTCTTGCCACCCTCCATGCCACATGAGGTGACCTAAAGAACATTTCTAAAAGCCCTGGTACCCCTTGAGAAAACAGAAAGAGCTCCACAGACTCTTCTTTTTTAGGAGAACTTCTGTTTTTCCTCGTAGAATCCCAAGAGCTGTGAAAGGACAGGTTTCTCTTAGGTCTAAAGCTCCACTGTCTTTTACGTTGAACTCCTTGATCTCGTTGGCTTTTAGATACACACATATGTGTGATGGTTAATATTGAGCATCAATTTGACTGAACTGAAGGATGGAAAGTAGTGTTCCTGGTGTCTGTGAGGATGTTGCCAAAGGAGATTAACATTTGAGTCAGCGGACTTGGAGGGGCAGACCCACCCTCGATCTGGGTGGGCACCGTCTAGTCAGCTGCCAGCATGGCTAGGATAATGCAGGCAGAAGAACATGGAAGGACTAGACTTGCTGAGTCTTCTGGCCTTCATCTTTCTCCGGTGCTGGATGCTTCCTGCCCTCAAACATCAGACTCCAAGTTCTTCAGCTTTTGGACTCTTGGACTTACACCAGTGGTTTGCCAGGGGCTCTCCGGCCTTTGGCCACAGACTGAAGGCTGCACTATGGACTTCCCTACTTTTGAGGCTTTGAGACTTGGACTGATCCACCACTGGGTTCCTTGTTCCTCAACTTGCAGATGGCCTATTGTGGGACTTTACCTTGCGATCGTGTCAGTCAATTCTCCTTAAAAAACACTCCCTTTATATAACTGCTGACCTCAAGTGATCTGTGCGCCTTGGCATCCCAAAGTGCTGTGATTACAGGCATGAGCCACCATGCTCGGCCAAACTTAAAAAAAAATATCCTGGCTTATTTTAATTGATAAGCACACATTTTTCTTAATTTGGTACCATATAGATAATATACAAATATATGTATAGACATATACATACATGTAGACATAACATATACATACATACATATATGTGTGTGTATATATATATATGAAGTCTTCTGTTAGTTCTGTCCCTCTAGAGGACCCTGACCAATACAATGAGTATTATAAATTAAATAAATAGGCCTGGATAACGTTTGGGCACGGTGGCTCACACCTCTAATCCCAGCACTTTGGGAGGCTGAGGCAGGTAGATCACAAGGTCAGGAGTTTGAGACCAGCCTGGCCAACATAGTGAAATCCCGTCTCTATGAAAAATACAAAAATTAGCCAGGTGTAGTGGTACGTGCCTGTAGTTCTAGCTACTGGGGAGGCTGAGGCACGAGAATCGCTTGAACTCAGGAGGCAAAGGTTGCAGTGAGTTGAGATCGCACCACTGCACTCCAGCCTGCACTACAGAGCAAGACTCCGTCTCAAAAAAGGAAAGAAAAAAAAAACAACAAAAAAAAAAAAAACCCCACCAGAAACAAACAAACAAAAACCAAATATTTTTTAAGTTCGTAAGACTTAGGTAAATCATTTGGTAAATAAGATGAGATTAGTATTGTTGGGGTTAATAAGGATAATTATGTCTTCTGGGTAACAGCAAAACATACATGTATTTGACTTTTGAAGTTCTTGCTTTTATAATACTTGCCTAACATACAGTCATATGCAAATTGTTAATGAAAAATTTAACTTGAGATGATAGCTAGATTTGTGTAATGTCTTATAAGAATTTTTAAACATAATTGTTAAATAAAATAGATATAAATGAGATAAATAAACTACATGGATATAAAAAGTTAAAGAAAGAGAATCAAAAATTTGTAAGAGATTATAAAAAGTTTATAGACATCTTATCTTGTCTGGTCAATGTTAACTAAAATTGGATGAATTGGGTGTGGTGGCTCATGCCTGTAATCCCAACACTTTGGGAGGCCAAGGTGGGCAGACTGAGCCCAGGAGTTTGACAACAGCCTGGGCAACATGGCAAAACCCCGTCTCTATCAAAAACAAAAAAACGAGGTGGGGCGCAGTGGCTCACACCTGTAATCCCAGCACTTTGGGAGGCCAAGGTGGGTGGATCTGTTATGCCCAGACCGTTTGTTCCCCAAAGAAGACTACCAGAGTCCAATGTTAAAGCCAAGCGGCAAGGATCTTTATTACAAGTTCGAACCTGGTCCCTCCATTCTACAGCATACAAGAGAGGGCGTCAATGTTAACTAAAATTGGATGAATTGGGTGGTGGGCTCATGCCTGTAATCCTGCAACACTTTGGGAGGCCAAGGTGGGCAGACTGAGCCCAGGAGTTTGACAACAGCCTGGGCAACATGGCAAAACCCCGTCTCTATCAAAAACAAAAAAACGAGGTGGGGCGCAGTGGCTCACACCTGTAATCCCAGCACTTTGGGAGGCCAAGGTGGGTGGATCTGTTATGCTCAGGACCGCTTGTTCCCAGAGAAGACCACCAGAGTCCAATGTTGTGCTGCCGCAAGGATCTCTATTATGTTCAACCTGGTCCTCCATTCTACAGCATACGGGAAGAGAGGGTCTAACAATGCGAGCATTTGCTTATAGCCCGAAAGTTACAGGAACAAAAGAAATTCTTTGCCCCGCGCTTTTCGTAGTGAACCTTGAACGGCTGTCTCCTTTATCGGAGGCTTTCCCAGGTGGTGTTTATACTGGGCTCAGGGAGTTTGGAGAGATATATGGCGATATGTGGTGGGAAGTGGGAGGATGGAATGTGTTTGTACTAGGCTCAGGGGAGTCTTGAGCCCAGGCTTAGAGGAATGCGCCTGCCTCTTTCATTCCCTTCTTTCAGGTGTCTCTAGAGCCAATCTTGGGTCTTATAAGTCTGACTTTTGTTTCAGCATTTACAGGTTGGTATTGGGCTCTGAGGACCATGAGTTGTACGGTGTTAAGTCTCTCTCTAATAAATCGTAAAATTTTTTGTTAACAACATGCTGTCCTACGGTAAGTAGAAATAGTAGACTTAGCAGGGGACCAAGGAAGGGGGCTAATAGAGAAAACATAGGGAGAATTCCACCATTGGTCTGCAGCTGAAGTAAACTGCCATGTTTTTACTTTTGTGCTTAACTTGTGTAACTGTTGACCTGGTCCTCTACAAGCCCTGATTTATTTATGAAACAACAGTCTTTTTTTAGAAACATACATGTATCACCTTTTTTGCAGTGAGTAGGTCTAGGCTCTCCGGTTCTGCAAGGTTACTCTGAGCTAGGGACGTGAGTTGGTTCATTGGGAAGGGGAGGCAAGGGATCAGCTGACTCTCCATAGCAACGGCAAATTGTTGGTATAACTTGTTGCTTTCTATGAGGGTGTGACCTAGGCTCCCCCGCCTGTGTCCGGCCATGAAGGATGCGGGAGGGAGATTCCCGCAATGAGGGGGAGAAACAGATCAGGCAGGTCTCGGGTCTAGGGACTGGGAGTGAATAGCGGTAATTAGTCCGTGGGGCCAATGTGTACCCTAGAACTCACAAAGAGTTAGTAGAGTCAACCGGGGAACTCAATGTGACATAAGACACAGTAGGTTGGCAACAGAGGGACTTTAGGTAGGTTCTCTAGATAATGTTCCATTACACGAAGAATATGTACCATGGAGCCTTTGTGATATTAGGGTCATTGCAGTGATGCTGCAGAGGCTGGTATTGGTTCCTGAGTCATAGGGAAACTTCTCCTGACTGGGATTTAGGTAAATGCCTAGGATAGGAGCATATGAGAGGTTTCGAGGTTGTTAGCTGGGCTAAGGCAGAGGATCCTCTGCGAGAGAGGGACAGCTGTTAGCGGTGACGCCCAGAGTGGCACACACACAGAAAGCAGCCAGACAGGCTGTGAAGTCCTGTAAGGTTAGCAAGTTCTAGTCTCTGTAATAACTTTAACCAGGAGAAAGGACGTAAGTCTTGTGTTAGCTGTTTTATCGCTCGATATTCCCGTGACCAGGGCAGTACTTGCACTAGG